GTACATCATCTAATTGACGCCAACAAATAAAATTTTCTCATATCTCACATGAAAAAGAACACTCTTCTATCAAGTAATCAGTAGATTCCTCCACGACCCCACACCTCACAAACGATATGGAGTTATCTCCCACACCTCTTTTAGACAATGTCATTTTTAGGGTATTTTGTTTAACACAACTCTCCAACCAAATAAATTAACCTTCAATGGTATCCAATTGTTCCAGTAGTTCATGTATGAATCTTGCATATCTAATTTACTCTCAGTTAAAGTTCTTAAGGAATTAATAAATAGATTCCCTAAGGTATCCCAACCATCGCCAGACATCATCACATGTATTAATGTTGATTTGATTAATTTCTTGAGAGCAATTGTTTATTTCCAGAAACTCCTCCTAAGTTCTAGGCCTTCTCTTCCGATTCCAACAGCAGGAAATTGTTGAGTAAACCAAAATGCATCTGTCTCCAAGTGAACATATTTTATTGGCTTCCAGTTTTTATAGAAATGGATATCGCGCTGCAAACGTGCCTTCCTCAAACCAACATTCATTCCAAATTGAAGTTTTATCACCACAACCCAACATTTTTTTGAGTAACTCGTGCAAATTGATGTTTACGGATGAGTATTCCGAAATGATTCTCAACATATTTTTTGATACTCCACCAATCTCTTCTTTGAGTGGAAAAACTTCCAAATTCTATTACTTTTATGAGTTGCCAGTATTACATTTTCCCACATAGCCTTATCGTTTACTTTTAGTTTCTACAACCATTGTTTGATCAAGGCGGTATTGAAAGCTCTCAAGCTTCCAAAACCAAGGAAAATGAAGGAATTTGGAGCCATCATTTTTTCCCAGTTAGTCCAACATATCTTTTTATCCGATGAAATTTGCGTCTTATTTTCCCCAACGAATCAATAACACCTAAAGGAGAATTAAAGATGGAGAAATATTAATTTGGTAGACTATTGATCACTGAATTGATTAATGTAATTTTGCATCCCAAAGATAAGGTTTGTGCTTTCCAGATAGATAATCTTTCCTAAAATTTATCAATTACCGACTGTAATTCCGAGCAAGCGCCATGTTGGCCCATCAGGAAGGCCTACATACTTAAATGGTAGGGATACCGCTTGAAAATGCAATATACTAACTATGTTGGCTACACAATCCGAATACACACCATTACCAAACACTTTTCTCTTGAAAAAGTTCACTTTAATCTCGGAGGCTAGGTGAAAGCATCATAAGATCCTTGCCACATTATTAATTTTTACCTCTCCATTCACCTAGAAAAATAGCATCGCTGGCATAGAGTAAGTGATATAACTAAGGCCCGCCGTTTAGAGTTTGAATAACATGGAAAATTTTGGATTCCATTGTTTTTTCATAATTCCGTTCAATGCTTCCATTATGATGATAAAGAGAAAAATTGATAAATGGTCTCCTTACCTCGCGTCTTTGCTTACACTAAATTCCTTTATCATATAACCATTTACAAGCATCGATGTTCGTGATGATGATAAGCAGCACTCTAACATCCCAAATTTCAAAGCAAGTTTTTAATTTAAAAATAGGATTAATAATCTAAATCCATTTTTTAAACATACCACATCATTCATTTATTCCAAAACGTGAGGGTTAAACAGAGTTAAATTAAAAAAATAAAAACAGTGGAAATCAATAGTATATCTTTGATGTGTATGTACAGTCACATCGTGCCCTTCCATCAAATAATCCTGAAAACATTTAATCTACAATTTTAAGCACAAATCTTAGTGAGTTCCCTGAAATTTCTCATCTACCATAGTAATAACTATGCATATCAGTAACGGGCGTGTTTGGTTCAAAGTGTCGCTACACAAATCTCATCGTTAACCTAACGGTCTATTTGACTTACATTGTTGCAACACCGGTCTTGTCATCAACCCAATGACCTATTGGACTCACGGTGCGGCAACACCGGTCTTGTCATTAACACAATGGCGTATTTGACTCACTACACATGTATTGTCATCAGCTAACAATCAATTAAACATACAATAAAGCAAGAATGACTCTACTAGTCTATTAAGAATACAATCATGTCATAGTAAGACACATGCATCCAGCACACAGAGGATCACCTCATAAGAAAACGGGAAAAATAACAACTACACAAATATCTATAAAGTCCAAGTTGGACCCAAGGTCAAACTATATCAAAAAGTCAACACTAAGGTTAAAGGCGCCCAACGCCCCTTTGTAGATGCTCCACGCCCATTAAAGACAAAATAGTTGGTCTTTCAGCAAGATGCACTACCCCCTCAGAAAGACGCTTTGTGCCCTCTATCCAAAATTAGACCAAAATCATCTTAATCCATTAAGTAAGAAGTTCTAACTTTAGATAAGAATATGTTATATGTCTTAATGGATAAAGTTCCCAACTTTATCCATTAGGATGGTCCAAAAAATCAAGATTTACAACCTTAGTTCATAAATTGTCTAAGAACACACTTTTCCTCATGTGTGGAGCAAAGAGAGCTCTTGCATGCACTCTTTATTCCATGAAATGGTCATATCTAAATTGAAGCATGAATCAAAGCTCATGGATTTCTTCAAACTCCTTGGAATAAGCCACAAAGGGACCAAACCCCATCAAAATGGACCAAAAACACCATTAACTCCTAGATCCATGGATGAAATGCAATAAAGATTGGATCTTTATGACTTACAAAGGTCCAGCAGAGGTAAAAGGGTTGATTACATCAGATGTAAAGCTTATTAGACCAATATTTCTTGCTTCCTTCACTCTAGAACCATAAAACACACCAAAAATGAATTTTAGAAAAGAAGATGAACTCCAAACACTTCAAGGGAGACTAGAACTTCATTTGAGGCATTCTTGGGGAGGTGGAGGCTGAAAATGACAAAACCCTAGGGGTTTATGCTCTTAAATAGTCCCAAATCCCAAGAAAATAACATCAGCCCATAGGTTGGGCGCACTCGCCTCCTGAATAAACAAAGACCCCCCACGCCTCCAGGCTATTTTCTGAAATATTTTTTGATTCGATCTTTTATGCTTCACTCCTTCCTTACACATTTCCTTGGACTTTAAAATTATTTGATAAAAGAATGAAAAAATAGAATCGTAACTTAGGTATAATAATCTTCGTATCCAAGATCACCATTTGATAAGGAACATCATTTGTTCCATGATTGAATCAAGAAAGTTCCAACTTAGTGAATCAAAATCTTTATCAAAATCCACCTAGAAGATTAGCTCCGTTCGATTTATTTTTCAGCCGATTAGCTAAGAATTTAGCTGTTACTTTGTAAATACAGCCAATTAATTTTATTGGAGGATAACCAACAAGGGAAAGAGTATCATTGAACTTTTGAACAAGAGCTATAAATGATGAATTACAGCCACGACTGATGGTACTTGTCTAGAAAAATTGTCAAAATATTTAACGAAATCTAGTTCCAAAATGCTCCCAAAAGTGTATAAATTTGAAAGAGAATCCATATGGTGGTCCTGGTACTCTCTCATTCCTGCAAGACCATATTGTTTCCTTAATTTTCGTTGGTTGAAAAGGTTTTGTAACAACTAAAGTACCTTCCAAAGATAACGGGTTTATATAAATACAAGTCAACCTTGGCCTTATAGGATATGATTATGTGAATTTGTTGCTGAAAAAATTAAAGATCTCCTTTTTAATTAGAACCGAGTCCGAAGTCCACACCTCAATAATTACTAACACATTGATACGACCTTTTCAAAATGTTATTGTCAATCATGATATGAGAAAAACATGAGTTTTCTTCTCCCTCGCCCAACCATTTGACCCTTCCTTTCTATTTCAGATCAAGATTCATTTGCATCTTGATATCAAGAACTATTTTGTCTCCATTCAAGTTGGTTTTGCCTTTCTACCAATGATAGTTGCCTTGAAATGGATTTTGAATGTGTAGATGAAAACGGGAGGTCCAGGGGGCTTGTCTGTATTTCGAATCCGATAATTTCGAAACAAAAAAAGGTCATTAAAAATCATAATTTTCATATCGTTATGGGTTCGATGCCTAACATGGATGATGATGTGTTTATTGTAAATTTATATTCATCATATTGTCCATCTGAAAAAAAAACATAATGTGGTGTAATTTATTATCCTTGAAAGAATGGTTTACATGTATTTGGTTTTTTCTAGGAGTCTTCAATGAAGTATAGATTTTGGAAAATAAAATGAATTTAGTATTCTGTGAGACGGATGCATAAGTTATCAATGATTTTGTTCATAATGTAAAAATTTTAGAGTATTCAATGGGGGGTAGAAGATACACCAATAAGATATAAGTAAGTGACACTTAAGTAAAATTTATCAACTACTTCTTAAAGTAGCTTTTAATTTTTTCAGTTACTCGGTAGAGCATAGCCTAAAGGTTCAAAAATATGACAATCTCAATATGGTCATGATTATTGATTATAAAAAAATTGTCAAAATAAACAATATCCATAGCAGATCTTTATGTAAATTTGAATGAATTTAAATACATTTCAAATATAGATTAGTTTTTAATTTCAAGTAACTATGTTTATTTTAAATTTTTTAGATTACAATTTTGATCAAATTTAAATAAATTTTCAATAAATGATAATATCATCAAATACTAAAGTCAATGAAGTCATAATACATTAGTACTGTTAATTAATTTCACTTTATTGCAATAAAAAATAACAACCTATATTAAAATTTAAGAAAACAAACATTGTAATATGTTTAGATCTAAGACTTTTAAAAGAATGAAAATAAGGACATAAATATATTAAATTTATAATGATGTTTCAATATAATAAGTGACATAAATATCATCTTTATTGTGATAAAAAAAACAAGACTATAAAAAAAATTTCTGTTTGGCAGTATATCCTTACAGGACATGAGTGTGATCAAAGAGATGAATAAAGCGGCACTCCAGTTAAAATCGATCCTGCATCCACAACAAAATTATTTCCGGTGATTTAGTTTGATGAGTCATGCATTAGGTATCTAACCATCGAGGTCAAAGCGGGATCGGTAGTGCCATATTCTCTTAATGGTACAGTCTTTGACACCACATTCTTTAACCATTTCTTTTGTATGAGCATCTCCGTAATCTCAGATTTAAAAATGCCATGACATATTGAGTTTACCCTTATTTTGTGGTTCGCAAGTTCCATAGACATCACCTGTGTCATGGTATTAAAAGCTGATTTAGAACAAGCATATGCGACACTTCCGGGAGAATGAGTACAATTAACACCCGAAATAGAAGACATGTTGATTATGGATCCTCTTTGATTGAAAGAAATCATTTGACGAGAAACATACTTCGACACCAACCATGATCCTGTAAGATTTGTTCTAAATGTTGTTTCCCATTTGTCTTCAGACAAATCAAGTGCGCTCTTTACAGGACCTAAATGCATGATGCAATAATAAAGAAAACAGTAAGTTAGGATTTAGATACAATTTCTAGAATTTTAATTATGTAACATTAAACATAGAGTTATAACTACTTTTATAGACATTGAAGCTCTAATAGAATCAAAACACTTCACATAACAAAAGGGTTCTAAATCTCAACCTAATACAATATGTCAAATTGATATATATATATATATATATATAATATATATATATATATATATATATATATATATATATATATATATATATATATATTATATATATATATTATCTAAACATAAATAATATGGATTTGACTATATCACCACTGTAAATTAATCCTATCATATAGTATTAGATATTATTAAAGACTTACTATCCATATTTACTAGATATTATTAGAGACTATCATACTATCCATATTTACGTTGAGTATGGTTCCCATATTTAAGTTTTGTACTCTATAAATACCCTCGAGACCAATGAGAATTATACAAACAATATTTTCAATATATTATTTTCTATAATGGTATCTAAGCACTAGGTTAACCCATACACCATCGACCACCACTTTCAGCGACATTCTTTAGTCATTGTCGAACCTTCCTTCTCTAGTCGTTGTATGGACCACTTCCCTCCGTCCCAAAATCAATAAATTGGTCTTTACCTTTTTCTCATGAATCCATGTCCTTTTTCTATCAATTCAACAATTTTTATTAATTTATTTTATTTAAATCACGACTATTCCACAACCATCATCTACCTTTCTTGTTCATAAGTTTAACACATATTTGATCCTTCATATCTCTACCTTCTCAAATGACACTTCTTGCTATGTGGTTTTAAATGAAAAACTTTTGTTTTTTGTTCTCTTTATGATTTTTATCTCTCGGTACGTACAAAAGCCACATAACAAGCCCCACATGCATACACTTTCTCTATCTATCTACATGTCTATTTATCTATCTATATATCTATTTATTTATCTCTCTCTCATTAATTCAAGAAAATTTCTAATTTATTATCATGCATCGGTGATAAATAAACCTTCATATTATATTTTGGTGCATCTCTCTCTCTCTCTCTCTAACTTTAGTTCCTTACTTTCTCAACTCACTTTATAGTTTTTTTTCCCTTAAACTCATTTAAGGATATATCACAACTCAAGAAGAGAAAGTTCAATACAACCTTCATAGATCAAGTCACTACATCAACAACGTTACTGATGCATAATCCTTGAAGAACAAATTACTATTTTTTAAGATCCGGTAACTATAATCTAGTGATTATATATTCTTTTTAAATGGAAATGGTGTCTAAGGTCATTAACTATTTTGATAATATTTCTAATAATAGAAGATTCCTTTTTAGGTTTGCCTCATAACCCAAGTAAGATAAGGAAAAGGAGATTAATAATATGTTAATTTATTAAAGAATTAATAAATTAATTAGAAATTATTCTATTAATAAATTAAAATGATTTAATTAATTAAGGAGGTTGAATATTAATTAATCTAAGGTATTAATTGGAATATTCCAAAACCTTATGGTGAGGTAGTAGGAACAATGTTCATATCCATTGGATAGGATATGGCAGGTTTAATTCAGATAAGATAAACCCTAAAGTTTAAATACTTCTAAATTCACATTGCTCAACTATAAATAGACTGCTAGGGTAAACCTTAGAGCTAGTTTTTCCCTCATCATAAATCGTCTAACCCCTGTCTCTCTCTCCTTGGAAAAAAATCACAACCTCTCTTCTAGAGTTTTGTGTTTTTCGAATAAACCCTATCTTGGGTTAAATCCTTTTTGTTTTTTGGTGTCATGGGTCTGATTTCATTCGATGGGTGCTCTTTTGGATCCTTCAACTTTTCAACAAATTGGCACATACGAGATCACTAGCAAGTGAACCTAAGGTTGGAAATTCTTAACTTTTGTTATTTTTCAAAGTATGTTGCAATTGTTGGATAAGGTGTCTAAGTCCATAAGTATTTCTGGTATTGTACTTGACCCGACCCGGCATGGTCCATTTGGGCTGCATGACATCATGCATTTGGATAGACTAAATGAGAGAAATAACACTTGTGGTTTATTAATATATTATAAGTTCTAATATATTAATAATATTATTTAATTAGTATTGATCAAGAATTAATCTAGGATTAATTAAGTGATCAAAAAGGAGACTAATTAAATATATGGGTTGATTATGTAAATCATCCATAACTTGTATAGTGGGCTTAAGGCTCCATGGGTTATCAAGTTGGGCTAAGGTCCATAGGATGCTCCATGGGAGTTACAAACCCATGGGTCATGAAAATGAAGAACCATGTCACACTAGGGTTTACATTGTGTAACCCTAATGCAACACACTATATAAAGAACATGCTATCTACCAAAATCGGCTACACTAGTGAGACAAGAGGGCAAGCCGAATTAGAAAGTGTTCTACATTCTGTCAAAGTTGACTCCAAGATCATTTGGTGTTGTGTGAAACATTTGAGGCATCACACTTGGGGTGCTAGGCTCTCAAGGTTTTCAAGGAATCAAAATAACTACAAGGTATGTAATCCTAGCCATCTTTCATGATTAAAGTTTCCCATGTATGCTAGATAGGATTATGAACCTTGGAAAAAGTATTTAGCATTTATTTTAGACAAACATAGATCCAAGGTTTTCTAGGGTTGCATGTACACTTAGGAGTGTTAGAATGCTCAAAACCCATTAGTGGTATCAGAGACTAGGTTTGTTTGTTTGATACTTGATGCAAAATTGTGAAAAAAAACTCGTTTTTATGCATTCTGAAGCATGAACTCGCCGAGTCGATGGGGGGACTTGACAAGTCCATGACCAAACTCATCCTACTCGTCGAGTAGGTTCTTGCACTCGACGAATAGGAGCCCCTGAGTGTAGTTTTTCGAGTTTTGCTGCTAGAAATGGACTAGAAACATTACCCTAAACTGTTTTGGTGTTGTAAAACTTGTTTTAGATGTTGTAATGGTTTTTATAATTCATTTACAATGGCTAATATCAAAATTACATGATTATATGTGTTCATATGTTCTTGAAATTTTGATATGATTATTCATGTTCTTATGAGTTCTTGATAGATCATAGGAATTACTTGTTTAATGTTGAATTCATGATCCTTATGTGTTTTAATGGAATCCATAACTTGTCCTCAAGTTATGGATAACCAAAAGTCACTTTGTGTTAATTCCATTAAAAGAACACATAAGTTATAAAAAATGAGGAGTCTTCATTTTAATAACTCATAAGTTATGAATTGAAAGGTTTTGTAAAGTTACAAAACTTGCCCTCAAGTTTTGGAACATGTAAAGTCATCTAGTAAACTTTAGTTCCAACCCCTAGAATTTTAAAAGTTAAAATTCAACCCTTATACTTCATAATATTATAAGTTTAATAATATATATGTATAAGATCAAGTCGTTTTACCGTTAGTAGGCCTCATTCACGAAGCCGGTCTATAAGGGGGGTATAAGGTTGTTGCCTATAAAATGGAAGCTTAATGGGTGTCCATTCTCACCCACCGCTTCCTTGACTGGTGGAGGGTCGTTAGCCGAACGGGTAGGACAATGACTTAAAATTCTCATTAAAAGTATAATGATTATTAAAAAGTAACAAAATGTTTTTATAAATTCCCAATGTTAGTTACTTTAGGAAAATGTGAATAAGGTGCTAACCCATGAAATTACACTTTGCACTTTGATTAAGTCGTTGGTGGAGCGTGTGTGGTTAACCAGCACACTAACTTGGACTTAACAAGGTACGCAAAGGGTGACTTAAGGTTTTTCATAGGTCGGTGGAGCGCGTGTGGTTAACCGGCACATCGATTAAGTGAAAAACATTAAGGGTACCAAGTAATTTGCATGGTTACTTTACACCTTGTTTTGTGATCCTCAGTATCCCAATAACAAAACATGAAGGGCACACTCGAGATTGAAACATGCCATTGAAAAAAGTTCAATAAATCTCAAAAGAATCTAGGAGTTTCTAAAAACCAAATAAAACCTAATAATTTATATATTTCGTTTTTCATGGTGGAAATTGGTGACTCGTCATTCACCTACCTTTCAAATATGTTTTAGCTTAGATTATGACATCCCTATTCTAAGATATAATATATTGTGATTGGATCCTAGCCTTAATATTACATTTGGGTGTTTTATTAAGGACTATCTTTATATCTAAACTAAACTTGTCTTATCTTCTTTTCAGATGTCTTCCAACAATGTTGCTTCTGGCTCAAACCCTACCGGCTCCTTCTCTCTCATGAACCTTTGTGGGAGAGTCATCTTTGATGGATCCAACTTTACAGATTGGATCAGGAACATCAGGACGGTCACTCGGTATGAGAACAAAGAATATGTTCTCGACAAGGATCTTAAGGTACCCGAACAGACTGCTACTCCTGAAGAGCTTGCTGAACATGAGGCACATGAAAGAGATGCTACCAAAGTGGCATGCATCATGATGGCCACTATGACAGCCGAGCTCCAAAAGTCCTATGAGGACTACTATCCTTTTGAGATGCACCAGGATTTGATGGACCGCTACCATCAGAGTGCTCATCAAGAGCGATATGAAATCATCTCCTCCATGATAACAACCAGGATGAAGGATGGTGAACCCATCACCGGCCACATGCAGAAAATGCAAAGGTATGTGGACCGTTTGCTGAAACTTAATGTGAACTTTCCCGAGGAGTTGGAAATAGATATCATTTTGCACTCCCTACCTTCGTGCTATGATCAATTCCGCATGACATACCACATGAACAAGGAGGAAGTTAGACTCAGCAAACTTCAAGGACTCCTAAAGACCGCAAAATCAGGTCTTAAAGGTAAGTCGGTTGTTACCACTCCTACTCCTACTCCAAACTCCGCACCTGTCCTGGCAATCGGGAAAGGTAGAGGGCAAAAGAGGAAGAACCCCTCGAAGGTTACCAAGGGTAACACCCTTGATGGCTCCTCTTCAAGCGGAACCAAGAAAGGTTTCA